GAGTTGAAAAGTTGAAATCGAGGCTTCTTTAGATAAACCGAACGTATTTGCCGCCCGATTTTTAACAGGCACGTCCAGACGTGAACACATTACTCGTATCTTGTCGTCACTCCACTGGCTGCCAGTTCGTTTCAGAACTGATTTTAAACTTTTGCTGTTTGTCTTTAGTGCCGTCAGTGGCCTTCCTCCCTCTTACTTATCTGACATGTTAACTATCTGTGATCCTGGCCAGGACCTGCGCTCTTCGGGTCAGCTTCTGCTTTAACAGCGGCGTTCTTCTGCTGTCGCTGCTCCCAGACTGAGGAACAAACTGCCCCCTGACAGTCGCACCACTTTGGCATTTTTAAATCAAATCTGAAGACCCACCTTTTTTACATTGGCTTTTAATTCGGACGAGGGCAGTCCTGTTTTTATGTGCACTGATTCTATTTATTCTTCACTTCTTTTATTGTTTCGGTCTATTTTAAGTACTTCTGGAAGGCTTTTAATTAACCTGCAGCGCTGTGGCACTCTCCACAGTCTAAAACATGTGTTTTATGTGTTTGCTTACTGTCTTTACGGCTTTGTTGTAAAGCACTTTGGGTACCTTGTAAAGGGCTATACAAATAAAATTTCATTGATTGATTGATTAATTGATCCAGAGTGTCCGTCCCGGGCTGATCCAGGTGCGTTCTAATGGATCAGTTAAACTAATAAAGTTGATTAAAAACCCAGCTGGCTAATGTTCATTTACTTAATGGTGCCTTGAGTATTTTACTGGATCTGGAAAAAAAAAAAAAAGCTAATTATTATTCATCTTTGTGCTCTTCGTCCCTCTTTGCTGCTGATTGTTCAGGGAAGCTGATCTGCATGTAGTCAGAGAGGGAGGACCTCCAGTCTCCACCAGCACCGTCCTGGATCTTCTGTTAAGATTTATTTTTATTAATTATTAGTGGAGTTTGGAGTCGCTGACATTCCTGTTTAATTTTTATTTCATTTAGATTGGTTTAATTGGCTTTACTTTAAGGGAAGAAGCAGGAATCTGACGTCGCGCTGCGTGCAGTGGTTTACGACCGTTTCCGTCTTTTGTTTATTTCAGCCGCTCTCGTTTTAATTTATCGTTTCGAAAGTATTTCTTGGTGTCATATGATTAAAGTTGCTTTAGCAGCTCTGTGGCATCACACGGGCTCCTTGAGGCCAGGGTTTGATTTAGGGGCTGAAACAGGCAGATGCGAAATATTAAAAGACTGAATGAAGATAATGCTTCTTAAATTCATTGAACAAAGATCGCAGCTTTAAAATTTCATTAGTTTGTGTTCAGAAAGTCGTCTCGCTTCACTTTAAAGAGCAACTTTTAGGCTCTAAGATCACAGCAGACCAAAGTGTTTCAGCTGACAAGGAGACATTCAGAGTTTATTATTTTGAAAAATACGCTGATCTGCTTCCCCATCAGCAGTGAAATGCAGAAGTCTTTATTGCTTGTCATGTTTGTACTGACAATAGGCTCCAACCAGCATCTTCCAGATATCTGTGCTTAACAAGAAACAGAGTAAACTGATTATGTTATAAATACCTCTCAAGCTCACAAATGAACACACGGTCATACGTACCTGTCACCGACCAGCAGTCCGATCCTCACTAGTCAGCAGCAGACACACACCACACAGTTACATTAATATCAGTGTTTTCTTAATGCACAACACCTGTACAGGGCTGCAGCCCCAGCAGACGGCAGCTCCCCGCTCGCTTCACCACGGCCTGGATACATTAATCTCGCAAGGTGGAAAGTGGGACAGATGACATCTCATAAAACAAAAGAATGAAAATAGGCTTGTTTGTGAGCTGCATCAGGAGAACGTGGCAGAGAAGCGCCGGACTGGAGCAATGCGGAACCACGGTCAGCACAGGCATCGACTTGCAAGGTATTTATTTTAAATGTTTGTTCATTTTAGTGCCTTGTCATGTTTTGTAGGATAATTTCACAGATTTCGGCAGCGTTTAGAATACGTTTTTATGATCAAAGAACATAATTAATAGTTTCTTATGGCTCCTAATTCCTTTTTTTTATGATCAGCAAATCTAAATGTAAATTTCTTTTTAATCGACAGCAAAATTTGCTGATAATAGCATCCCTACTTAGGATTACATAGGAGATGTAGCATTAAGATAAGATAAGATAAGATAAACTTTATTGTCTGTCACAAGTGACAGAAATTCTTCTTTGACAGGCATAAAAACAAACCTAATGCTAAGCTAACTAGCTGCCTTCTCTTTTAGGCCACGTTTACACATAGCCGGGTATTTACAAAAACGGATCTACGTTTTCAAAAATAACATTGTTCACACCAGATTGCTTTCAAAAAACACAACCCTGCATAAACACGTCATTAAGAGCTGCTATGAGCTGCCAGACCTACAGGGGGCAGTGTAACAAGAAGCACGCTAGCCAATCAGAATCCTGGAAAAAGCACAACAACGAATTACTTCCTGTTACTTCAACGATAATGGTGCGAGGGTCGTTTATTTGGACCGACAGAGAAGTGGAGCTGCTCCTAAATGTGGCGTTAGAGGACAAAACCAGTAAAGTACTGGATTTCTATCCCAGTAGCCAAACTGTAAACATGGTCGGACACATGTGACGCATACTGTGACGACAAACTCCGTCTCCTCCTGCCTACATGCAAACGTAAAGACGGAGTTTATCAGACAAGAGCAAACGACTAAACGGTAATTACAAACGTCGTCTGATTAACTGAACCTCACCCAAACGGAGGTTGGTTAAAGTTTAATTGTCCATTTTTCTGACAATATGACTTAAGATTTGTTTTGAAGGCTCCATAAAGCAATTAGCAGATTACTGGAATCATATTTCGTGCTCAGTTTGAAGCAGATTGGTCGCTGCCTGTGTTGACAAGCGCACCGAGTATGAGCAGCAACTGAGTCAAACATCGGACAATGAGTTTGAATTCATTTTCCCAAATCTCCACTTTGACCGGAGATTTCAGATGTGATCGTTTTCTCTGACTTGTAGCTTCGTTTACGTGAAAACCAAAGGCCCATTGAAATATCACAGTTTTTGCTAAGTCTCAACAGGGCCTAAGTGTAGCCCTGTGATAGACTGGTTACCTGTCCAGGTGAACCTGCCTTCACCCTGAGTCAGCTGGGATAGACTCCAGCCCCCCATGACCCTAAAGAGGATTAAGGTGTAGAGATGGATGGATGGATGATCAGCTAGTCGAAATGTATATTTAGGACATTTAAACATCTCTACTTAGGATTACATAGGAGATGTAGCATTACCTAATGCTAAGCTAACTAGCTGCCTTCTCTTTTAATGTGAAATTCAAACGTTCATTCAAACGTGAGGAAAACAGATAACCATTTGAACTGCAGTGACCTGTTTAAATTCAAAATTTAGCGCCTCAAACGCGCCTTTGGTCCAACCCGATCAGCACTTGGGAGACACTTGAACCAAACCGACGTGTACTTGGTGCTCGGAGCGTAGGAAGCGGCGGCGCTGAGACCCTCGTGGCCTCTCGCTGCGCACACCACTGGATAGACGGATATTTTACTGTTACTAATGAGGATTTTCATATTTGGTGACAGACTGATGAAGCGTTTACACATCCGGGCCGAACAATAGGACCTCAGCGCCATCTTGAAGGAAATACTCTGCTTGTCACTGGGAGTGTGATTAAGTGGAGGATTATTGTTGTCATAATAAAAAATAATGTTTTTCTTCTATCAACGCACAAAATACAACGAAGGCTCCAAGGAAAACAATACGTCGGCGGTTCCACCATGAAAAAAAAACAACACCAAAGCATTCCCCTAATGCCACTACTGCTGATTACATTCTACACATTAGCATGCATACTGATCACACCCATGCATTAACGGGTTTCTGCTGATGGTGGGAATTTTTTCTCTCTTCATACAAGTAGCAGCACTGGGGACTGGTGCTTCATTGTTGTGGTGAGTGCACCCCGGTGTGTGAATATCAACCGGGCTTCCTGTGACCATGACTCAAAGACAGACAAGGTATTGTTTTGTAGCCTTGCACAAAAAAAAAAAGTGCGTAAAAGCAAACAGACATGTAGCGCTGTCCGTGCTGTAGCCCTGGACACTTCGTTATCATCCCACACTGGAAGCATTGTGCTACTCTGCCTTATGTAATGCCTGTTAGAGTTAACTTTATAGGCTCTGTGTTTGAGGTTAAAGGCTTCAGTAGTTTCGGTGGAGCCATTAAGCTTTTTTTTTTTTTTTTAAACCCCCCCTAGAAATGTTAGATTAGATCTATTAAAACGAGGGTGTTGGGTATCAAGGATTTTAAGCAGAAAGCGAGAGTTCACCCGCTGCTTTCCCTCTGATATCCCTCCAGGTTCAGTTCCAGCTACCATCCACATCTAACATTGCTTTCATGTTTGACCCACTTTTACATGACAGAGACAATGACAAAGAAAAAGAGGCAGAAGGAAAATGATAAAGAAGACACCAGAGTTACGGTGGAGAAGGAGATTAAAACAAAAAAAAAAGGGGAGATGCAGAAAGTGGAGGGAAGAAGAAAACGCAGGAGGAATTAGTAAAGGAGTGACAGCGGCAAAGAGAATGACAAAGGTGTAGAAGGAGAGAGAGAGAAGGGGGGAGAAAGGGGGTAAACAGAAGGCAAAGCTGAAGGCGCCGGGGAAGGAGGGGAGTGGGCTGAGCAGGAGGGAGGAGGGAGGCTCTGCTTCTCCTAATAAAGCGAGTGTATGTGAAAGGAGGTGCTGAAAAACGTCAGACTGAGCAGAGAGCTGTGTTACCACAGAGAGAGAGAGAGAGAGAGAGAGAGAG